ATAAATTAGACTTTAAACGGGATGCAGGTACTAATACCGGATGCGGGTACTGGGTAATTTTAAGGGTCATTGTGGAGATCTTGGAACCAGATCCAAACTATATATTATTATTGGTTATAAATTAGATATTTTATCCCTATAAAATATAAAAGATTAACCAATCACACTCCATCAAACTAACAACCCACATATTTGTAATTGCTGAAATTACTTGTAACTTCAGCACCAGAGCATTTTGAATTTAACTTACAACTTAGTTGCTTTCTCCAAGATACCGACTCGTAACAAAACCAGTATACTTTAGATCTACTGAGACCGGTATTAGACTAAAAAGTTGCACGAATCTATCCGGCCGAAAATGAAGCTAACAACTCCTAAGATGAAGCTAACAACTAACTTCATTAGATTAATACTAAATTTTCAAGGCTTAAACTAAGCATGAAAAAGCCTGCTCCCTCGCTCGAAATTGGACTAAAAATATGAACGAAAAAGTATAACTGAGATTTATAGTAAAAAAGGTCATTTAGAAAACAGTTTTTGAAGAAAAATGACAAGAAAAACGAAAAAAAAATGAAAAAAAAAGTTTTCAAAATTTTTTGCGGAAAATTTTCGAATGTTCAAGTTTTTGGTTCCAAAAATTGCTCTAGAAAACTCCAAAAATTACCTATTCTTAAGTAAAACTGAAACTTCATGGTTTTAATGAAGCTTAAATAAGCTATTGCAATTAATAACTACAATACTTATAAGATCGAAAATAGACCGATAATCAAAAAAATTTCAAACCGGTTTTTCTCGACACTTGTAAACGTTTTTTGATGTTTTTTGATGTCGTTTGAATCACGGCTGAAAGGGCTTCAATATGATGTATCAGTTAATTCAGTCGGATAATTGTTTGTGGTAGCACATTTTGCTTGGAAAACAAAAAAAGACTACTAGCTTGCTTTATTCGCTTGAATTTAGACAAAAAATCAAAATTTTCAAACTAGTTTTTTTTCGACACCTAGAAAATAATTTTGATGTATTTTGATGTCGTTCGAAACACTACTGAAAAAGCGTTAAAATTATATATCACTCAACCCAGTCCGAACATTATTTGTGGTAGCTGATTTTATGTGGAAGAACAAGGGACAAAAAAATCAAACACACCCCAATACAAAGATCCTCCCCATTTTCAATGATCGGAACAAAAATTCAAGATAATATCGTTGTTGCGTGAGGCGACAGCAAGATCTGAAGGAAAAAACAAACATTTTTAAGTTTAGTCGACAGTCAGACTCATACAAACCAATTAGAAAAAAGTTTATGAAGAAAATTAATCAAAAAACAACAATATTGTAAATAAAATGTCCGAATTTTGCAAACTTTTTTTGAGTTTTTTAAGTTTTTATTCCCAAAAAGGCTTTCAAAAAGTAAAAGCTACCTTTACTCGAGTATTAAGAAGTCTTCGAGGCTTAAGCTTAGCTTAACTAAGCAATTGTAAGCCTGCAAACTTAATTTTGACAAAGTTTTTCAGCTTGAAGTTAGACAAAAAAATGAAAACTTCGAATCGGTTTTTCTGACTGATAAATTTGTTGAAAATTTTTTAGTGTTGGTCAAACTACGACTGAAAAAAAAATATGATACTATACTCCACCCCAACCAAATACTTTTTTGTGGTGCCTTAGTTTGCGTGCAAAACAAGCAAAAGCTAAAACACACTCAAATACGAAGCTCCTCCACAGTTTTTGAATGGTCAGAACAAGAATACCGCCCAATTACCAGGACAAAACTAGTTTCTCCGTCAAATATTCAACAATCAAAAAATGACAAAATTTTCAACAAAAAGTTTTTTTTTCAATTTGTTCTTCATTTTTTCCTCCTATATTTATTTTAGAGCCAAACTGTTTGGCTCATTTTATTTTTTCCGCAGAAAAATGCCACTTTATTTTTCCTAAGAAATTTATGATACCGCAGCTACTTATCCGAAGTTGGCCAAATTAGCAACTTTCATACCCTTATTACTTCGGAAAAATTAATAATAAAAAATTGTTTGAGCTTCAGACCACAATATCTTTCAAAAAATTCTATCATAAATGCCTAGTTAAAATTTTCGAAAATTTTATAAGTATTAGTATAAGTATAAGTATAAGTATTCCGCATTTTCATTAAAAATCGAAAACCCCAAAAAAAAGTTGTGCTGTACTGACTGGACTTTAACTGATCAAATAGACATCCACTCGATTCTGTCAATTTTTGTTAGCTTCGACTCCATTCTCTAACAACAACTTTTAAAAACACAATTTCTTGTTCTAATTTTTTTTGTTAAGCCTTCTGTAACAAAAAAGGACTTCCCGTATCAGGGAAAATTTCTGAATGTCTTGGCTACATTTTGAGGTCTATGGTGTAGTGTTTGACTTAAATAATGATGAAACAATATAAAAAAAACTTCAAAGTTTGTTTAGACTTGGTTTGAAAACAATTTCCTTACAAGCTATGTAAAGTGCAAAGTGATAAGTTTTGCATATAGCAAAATTATAAAAAGAAGTTATTAGAAGAGCAAGCCTCCATTCAGTTTGGAACAGTTTCTAAGACGGATTATATACGCGTCGATAGCAGAAAAGAAATCGCCCGTCATTTATCCCAAATTGGTCAAAAGGGCAATTTTGACAGCCCCATAATTCTACGAAAAATCATAAAAGGATTTTTTTGTCAATTTGAGCTCAAGACAGCATTATAATTAGGATGGTAAGAAAGTGTGTTCAAAGTTGATTTAACTTACATTTTAACTTTAGGTTTTCATATCTGTTCATAGGTATTTATAGATAAATTGAGGTATTGCACACTTACTTCAAGTGTTAAAGTATCAGGTGTTCATAAATACTTTAATTTTTCTTGAGAATAACCAATTATAATGATTCTCTTGAAATGAATATGACAAGTCTTACAATCAAAAAAATTTCGTTATCAGACATTAAACTCGGATCCTTCCAGTGCATGTACATGCATAAACGCTACCACTACGGTGACTCAAAGTTACGAACACAACACAAAAAATTTGAAACGAATATAAATCAGAAAACTAACAGTCTTTTTGTTTGTGGGAAAACCCTGGTCATTAAAATTTCCAAACATGAAAAAATACTAGACATAGACCTTTCATGCACTTTTTTGTACTTTTAGAAGTGCATGAGAAGTGTATGATAAGAATTTTTCAAAGTGTGAAAATTGTATAAGAAATTGTGTTTTTGGTTGTTCACCCTAGTCGATCAAGGGAGGTTATCTTGCAAGATCTTGCAAGATTCTTGCAAAAGAGGGTTATCTTGCAAGATCTTGCAAGATGGAGGTTATCTTGCAAGATCTTGCAAGATGGAGGTTATCTTGCAAGAATCTTGAAAGAGGGAGGCCATCTTGCAAGAATCTTGCAAGATAACTATCCCAAAATTTCTGTCGAAAAACACAAAAAAAATAACAGAAATTAGGTGTAAGATCAAAAAAATTGTTTCTAGAACGAGATGCTTAACGAATAAAATTTCTAGAACGAGATGTTTCTAAATGCTTAACGAATAAAATTAGACAAAAATCATGCGTTAAAAAGTAGTCGCATATTTGTTGTTAATTTATTCAATGAGATTAAAAGTATCAACCAATCAAATCTTTTTAATTTATTCGCAATTATTGCGGCTACTGGTTTGCGAAAATTGAAGGATTATTGGCCAAAAAATTTTTGTGACGAATTGCTTTAATTAGTTCAAACCGGGGATATTTAGTTTTTTCGACTATCGATTTCTAGTTTTGAAAGTGGAATTTACTTTTTAGATTTCCAGAGAATAAAAACTTTACTTATTGATCCAGTTTTCTCAAGTCGGGTTCATGTTATCAAAAAAGCGCCCATCATAAATTGTTCTAGAAATTTAAAGAGCTTAAAGGGCTTCTATTTTTTCCTTTGAGTTTTGAAAGTTGAGATTTTTCAACAACTTCAGTGTTATTTTTTAATGTTTACTTGCGTTCATCTTGTGCTTAATCTTTACCTGCTTTTATTTCTTTAAATTTATGCTCTCAATTGATGTAAATTGTGTTTTTCCTATTTTGAGAGATTAAGGTATAAGTAGTCGATCAAAACTTGAAGATAGCCGCCTATCACAAAAAAAGTTTTAAAAAAAGAAGCTTTCTGGGGGCAGCCGCCTAGCGGGCTGTGTGTATGTATCTTTAAAGATCTTGCAAAAAAAAGATTATCTTTAAAGGAGGTTATCTTGCAAGATCTTGCAAGAATCTTGCAAGATCTTTTAAAGAGATGCATCCTCTTTAAAAGAATCTTGCAAGATTCTTGCAAGATCTTGCAAGATAACCTCCCTTGATCGACTAGGGCAAACCGGGCAGCTATACTTAACTACCGTATATTTCACATACTTAGTGTGTTACTTCACTAAATTAGGAGTTTTCCAAGACTTTGGTTGCTAAAATTGGAAATATTTAGTTACAGTTCTGTAACTGTTGACTGCACTGTACGTCCGACTCAATTTTGAGTTGCTCGGTCGTTTAGACTTGTCGTTGATTGGGTAACTTCCCTTGTTGATCAAGGGAGGTTATCTTGCAAGATCTTGTTAGAATCTTGCAAGATTCTTTTAAAGAATATGTATCTCTTTAAAACGTCTTGCAAGACAACTGCCTTGAAAGATAACCTTAATTTTTGCAAGATCTTTAAATTCAAGATTTTTTTGTGAAAAAAAACTTTACACAAGACAAGTATAATTATTTTTTTCAGTATAAACTTTACCAATAGCAAGTAGAAAAATTTAATTAATTGAACAAATTAACAGTAAAAAAGCATAACCTCGTAATAATAAAAACAGAATTATTGCTCGACTTTATGTGAACTGAACATAACATATCTCAAGCTAATTGACTCTATTCATCAAAATTTTGACAAAAAAAATTTAATTCAACCGCTAGCTTTGCAATACAAGATAAAAACTCGAATTAAATCAAAAATGTGTTCTTGAAAAATTTAATCTGAAATGATTAATTTATAACGATAATCTGAACTATTTATTTTAAGAAAAATAAAAATATGAAAATGTAATAAATATTTTTAAAGTTTGCTTAACCTAATTTGTTTCCGAACTTAAGCGACCGTAGTCAAATTGGATCTCCATAGTTTTTTCTGGTGCTCAGAATAAGGTTTCGTGAAAATTTCATTTTAACTTTAAAAATGTTCACTTTAAAAATGTTTATTACATTTTATATTTTCATTTTTCTGGTTATCTTGCCAGGTCTTGCAAGAAACTTGAAAGATTCTTGCAAGATAACCTCACTCTCGCAACATCTTGCAAGATAATCTCACTCTTGTAAGATCTTTCTAGATAACTTTCCTTGATCGACTAGGATGGGTAATGCTATCTTTTCCAGACAACCAACTACTTGGACCAGCTCGAGAAAAATAAATAAAAAAAAAGTGAATACATGAAATGGGATAAACTGTGTTTACTGTGGCATCCAGTAACACAAAGGGTATTCAATAACAAATACAAACTTATTTCTCTTGAAGGGGGTGTCGATGTTTAAACTTCAGAGAAAACTTTTAAATTTATTTTCGTTTGAGACAATCATTAACTAATAATGATGTTTTCACCGCCAAGATCTTATCAGTTACAGCCAAAATGCAGGGCGAGATGCTCAAAGTATATTTCCAGATGAAAACAAATCGGAACTAGACAATCCGGTGGTTGCGGAATTTGAAATTATTTGAAACCAATACGCTTAGTTGATCAAAATTTGCTAGGAATAAACGTAACAATTTGCATTATCAGCAAATTTTTAAAATATTCAACTAAACTGGGCTACTGGTGTGCAAAATACGGAAATTCCCTCGAATCTAATTTAACTGCATCCAATGTGAGTTTTGTTTTATCCAAAAGACAAAAAAGAAAACAGTCTATTCCGGGCCGAAAAAAAATTTCCAAATGAGCTATTTTTCTTAGCAGTAATCGTACAAACCTTCAAATTTTTCAAAATAGTAACTTTGAAACTGTGTCTCGAAATATTAGCTAAGTAGCATTTCAAAACACAGTTTCAAAATGATAACATTGATGTTTTTGCCCTTTTTTGTTGCAAAATTCTGACAAGCACTTGCTATCCGAGCTGTAGTATAAAATAATAATCCAGAAGAAATTTTTTTGAAGACGTATAATATATCAATTGGAGTAAAGGTTTATTTCCAATATCCAATTGTCATAAGATTGAAACGCCCAACTATTACAAAAAAAAAACAACTAAAAACACAAACAATTATTTCACAATAAAATTAATTATATGGCTTAAAAACTTGTTCGAAAACATTCAAACTTTGAAATCATGCATAGAATTCACACATTAGTGAAACTTTGGCATGTGCTTGTCTTCTTTCCCTCGAATCTAATTTAACTGCATCCAATTAAATTACGCAGGATATATTTCGTTCTTTGAAAGTCGGCACAAAATTTGTTCCGACTTTCAAAGAAAGTGAGGAAAGTGTATGTTTCTGGTAATTTTTTATGTTCAAACCAATTTTTAGCTCACTTGGGATATCGATTCCTTGGCCTAAGTTGGCCTGCCGAGCGCGCACACAAATATACTAGCGCGCCTGTCTGTGCAACCTGAAAGGCATCTTTCCAAACAGCTCAATTTATACTTCGATGCTGAAAGTATACCGCAATACTTTTACGTGTAGAGAATTATCCCGCACTGCAATATTGTTCCAAATTCAATTTAAGCAAGCTAAAGTATCTTATTATTTTCATGCGACCCAAAATTCAAACTTTTATGCAATATTATCAGCTTAAAAACAGTTGGTGAACGGTCAAAAATTAATGATCTGCTTTAAAACAAATTTCGACCTTTTTAACTGCCATCTTACAAAAGTTTTTTTTAAGTTTTTTTATAGCAGTCAAAAAAATTTGATTACCTGAACTCAAAAAAGCATTTTTGCAGTTTATAACGAAGTTTCGTAAAGTTATGGGGGTTTTAAAAATACTGTTTTGAACAATTTTGATAAATAACGCAGGATATATTTCGTGCTATTAACGCGAAAGCGGAGTTTTAATCGGTCTTAGAAATGGTTCCAATTAAATTGAAGCATGGCTTTTGTTTTATATAATAATTCGCTTAAGTTCAATTCTTCTTATTTTTCACATAGCGTGCGGGGGATAGTTTTCAAAAAAGCTCGATATTCTTTTTAAAACATTTTCGTTTTTTCTTAAATTTTCATCAATTTTTTCTTAAGGCAAAATTTTCTCCATAGACCTTAAAAGGCAGTCCGGTCATTCGGGACTTAACCCTGATCTGAGCAGTAATGCTTAAGCACTTTCCCTCTAGATTGACACAGCAGACTTTTCATTCGCATTTTCGATTAAAGATATCAAGAAGAGGGCGTTGCTTAAAAAAGCATGGCTAGAAAAACAGCACAAACTTTGATTTAAAGGGCTTTAAAAAATTTAAAACAAGACTGCTCGTATCAGGGCGAAGCCCTGAATGTTCCATCTGCCTTCTGCCTTTTAAAGTTTATAGAGCATTATTAACAAGAAATTTTTATGAATTCATACACGCCACATAAAGTTTTAAAAAAATAGTTTTCGATCCTTGTAACATAACAACTATGGCAAATAAATTTCTTTCAAGCAATTTGGAACGATTTCTATGACGGATTAATTCTCCGCTTACGCGTTAATAGCGCGAAATATATCGCGCGTTAATTGGCCCAAATTGGCCAAAATGGCTATCTTTAAACCCCCAGAAATTTACGAAAAATAATCACAGGTGAAATGGAAATAGCTAATTTAAAAGTCGAAACTTATCTGGCGAAAAAAAAAACCCACCCCGAGAGAGCACTAATAGTCCGTTACTTTCGTATCGAAAGTCGGAACAAAAAGTGAAAGAAACCAAACAATGAATTTTCTTGTTACAGAATAGTCATTGCTCGCAATAGGTTAATTCGATATGTCCATACCGCACGCGGCTAATTATCCCCCGTCGAGATTGAATTCCAAACTGAATTCCGACGAGCTAATTGAATACGAATACTGCCTGAACGTGCTAAAAAATCATATTTTTGTGTTTGATCTTGCGCATGGGTTGGTTTGCAACATATAACTGATAATATAATTTTGAAGAAAAAAACCTTTTAAACGCAAAAGAAGTCGGATTATTCAAGTCCTTGCACTAATTATACCAATTGCCTTGTTTACGTTTTAAAATTGGTATTTTAAATTGGATCAAGATGATCAGGTGATCAAATACATTGTTTGCAGTCAACAGAAATAACCTTTGAAGCGAGTTTCAAAATCGGATTCATTGTACGTTTAAAGAATTGAGACACAAGGTCAAAAATTAAAACTAATCTTTCCAAATTAGCATTGATTCAAAATAGATTCATTGACAAGCATGTTCAAAACTTATCAAAAAAGTTTTTCTTTTTGTATGATTATAACAGGTAAGCAGCTAAAAGTATTAAGTAGCGCAAAAATAAAATCCTTGGCTGATAGGTTTTAAAAAAGCGACATGAACATGAAAACTGACAAAAATTAGTTTCCATGTCATCTCTGGCTGAGCGCCGAGTGATATATCACCGCTGTTTGGTACAAATGTGACAGAGAGGATCCAAGAAACTAAGTATAAATAACGATTCCGCATAGTTTTTACTCGGAGCTCAGCCCCGAAACGTTTCCGTATAGTTTGCTTCCATTTTATTAGTGAAGCATCGAATAAGTTAGCGCAATGAAAAAAGAAGCCTTAATAACGATAGGGCGGCAACGTCTATTGATTTATCAAAATTTTGTATTTAATTATTGTTAGTGTGACGTGGAGCCCCTCTGTCACATTAGGTTGTGAGGAGGTCGTTTTCAAGAGGACGACCATAGTACCCGCTGTTTCAGAGAAAAATCAAAGACATAAAAAAATCCATTAGCCATATTAACATATCTTTTGTTTTTTGACAGGAATTTTGACTCGAATAGGCAGAGTTTTCTGTCGAACGAAACGTCAATGAGCAAAGATAAGTTTTTTTGTTTTTCTAGTAATTTTTCTCCAAAATTTGTTTTTCAGTTTGCTTATTTTAGCATGGCTGTCGAATATACCTAATCCCCAGTTTTTTTGTTCAGCTCCTTTCATCACATCACGCCGAAAAAAAAGAACAGCAATAAATTGAAAAAAAAACTTTGTTGTGTTTTTTTTAAAACTATGGTCGAATTATTCTGTCCTACTTGCACAGTAGCTGGCTACCCTTGTTTTGTTAAATTTTCTTGTCGTTTAGATTGGAATGATCAGATCCGTAAATTCACAACTATTTGAAAAACTTTCAAAAAAATTGTGCTCATTTTCAGCAATTTTCTGTCTAGTTGAACAAAAAAAACAGTAAGTTACAAAACTGTGTCCCAGATTGTTTCTTAAGCAAACTACTGTTGAATTTTTCAAATTAATTCTCTTTTTAAGCTTAGTTTCATCAAACAAAAAAAGTTTTTACTTAACTATGTTTTTTTTGTATCATTATAAACATCAACAACTTTTTTAGTACTGACGTAGAATTTTTGTTTTAAATTTTAATAGCTGAGTTAAATGCAGTTCTCTTTTAGAGCATAGTTTTTGTTCATCTCTAAAATATTGAATTCTGTCATTTAAAATTTAAAATTTTTTATAATGATTTCTGTGGTTTTCCTATATAAAACAATGTATGTTTAAAAACCCCACTTTAAAAATTTAATTGATTTCTGTATTTTTTTTTTATTTTGACCAAGAAAATTAATACAATTGTATAAAAAATGGTTGGAAAAAATGAAAAAATTGGGGCCAAAGAGAGCGTTCTATATTTCGACTACTTTAAAATTAGCGAATTTGTGTTCTGATAATTTTTCAAAAAATAAAATGAAACTTGAAAAAACACTTTTAAACTAGTGGACTTATTGGATGAACTATCATTTAGATTAGTTGCTAGCTAGAATACCCACCGACCACATAAACACTACTTTTTCATCCTGGAAACAACAATGATTGAGTTATCATTAAATTCAGTCTGACTTAAATTGGTTATTTTATCAAATTTCTTTTTCAATATGAACCAGTTTCTCTAAAATAACCTTATAATGATTCGAATTGATCTTATCGGTCTGTGTAGGTTTTTGGTTTTTACCATTGACTTATAATCTTGAAAATTTTCTTCCAATTTACTTTTACTGTTTGCCCTCAGCTTGTTGTTGAAAAAAAAACCAATTGGCTGCTGTGCATGTTTTTTTGACATTTTTTTTCCCATTTTTTAAGCCCATTTATCCACGGGGGAAAGGACCAACACAAGAGCTGTCAGCTCATCCCGGCGAACCGCTGTTGTGCCCCTGTTTAAAAACTACATGCTATTTTTTTGGTTATTTTTCTGGGCTGGTTAATGTTGCTTCACCCTCAAGCAACGAGCACGGATCATGGTGGGCCTCGAAGATGCGGAGACGTAACCACTTCGCCACCGCTCCCCTCCTTTCGTTCCCTTCAGCTGCTTTTTTCTTAAACGTTTCATTTTACTGATTTTAACGCAGACGTGTTGTATATTTCAATCGTTCATTGCTTTCTTCAGAACTTTTTGCCTATTGTTTAATTTCACCCGGGTTGACCAAAACTTCTTATCATACAATTTCCATCCATATATGACAAACTTCTTGTCATACAATTTCATACGTATAGCAAATTTTATGAAATCTATGATAAACTTTTTTTCCATATATGAAAATTGTATGATAGATGTTTTTCCATAAACAAAAAAAGTCGATTTTTTGTTTCTAAATTTAATTTCTGAAACTACTTGGGTTGTGTTTGTAACCGAACACAAGTGACAAAGACTTTGGTTTACTCAAATCATCAAAGATTGGACGGTTTCGCATTTACAATGCATGCAAAGCGACCTCAATTATCTTAGAGCTGTCTCTCACAAATGATATAAGGAAAGTACAAAACTTTTAAATTTTGGCAAAATTTTTCAACGATGATTATTTTTAAAAACTTGATTTCTTAAATTCTCTAACATTGATCAAGGCATACACGCCATACAAATTAAATAGGATTTTTTGGCGTTTTTGAAAAAATATATAAAGCAAAAAGGAAAAAAACCAACATTATTGTATCTAGGACTACGTGTTATGCACACAAAAAAAATTATTTTTTTTTGGGAAAAAGTTTGTTTGCGTTCAAAATTCGAATTACGGTTGAAAAAAAAAGAATTTTTTGGGGCATTTCAAAATTAATTGGAAAAATTTTGTGTCGCCATCAAAAAAAATACCAGTCATACAATTTCCTTATATGGGAATTGTGTGATAAGCATTTTTTTCAAAAAACTAAAACTTCGTTTTTTATAACCAGACTGTTTTAATAGAAACAAACAGCCGCAGAATTAATTAGTTTGTGCCCTTTTATAACCATTTTTTGAAATTGTATGAAAATTGTATGACAAGCAATTTTACACACACTTGATGTATGGATTTGTATCATAAGCAGTTCAGGTGTGGGAGGTCAACCCGGACTAGTATTTTGATCTAAATTTTTGGGCGGTTTATAAAACACTAATAATAGATATTAGATTTTGACTGCTGTTTAATTAAAATCAAAAAAGTAGGTCAAAATTTTGATTTTGCATCCATTTGTCTCTAAAAAGGATGAAAAGTCCCCAGTGTCAACTAGTACCGCACTGTCGTCCAAAAAGGAAAAATATCGAGCAGTGTATCAGAATAAAATAAACAAAATGATGCATCATTGCAACTATTTTAGTTTCATTGCAACTAATTTATATTCTTGAAGCTTGAAGATCTTTTTGTGTTGTTAGCCCGTCAAACAGAAAATTTGAAACAACATTTTTCTATTTATTAGTTACCAAGCTGTTCAAAATAACAGACACCGCAAACTATCTGGTCAGGCTCATCAACAATTTTTGCGACTTCGAGAAATGATCCATATTTATGTTCCAATTTTCGTAACGAAAGATTTTTGCTCGGGCTTTGTTTTTTCAGACAAATTTTGAATTTTTAGTCTGCCTTTTTCGACAGATTTTTTCATATTCAAAAGGTAATAATGAGCTTAAATTTCAAAAAACTCTATTTTTTTCACAAGGTTATGAGAAATTAATGATTGCTCTTTTTCGGCCAATTTGAGTCAATTAACGAGCGATAGAATTCGTGCTAATAACGCGTAATTAAAGATTTAGTTCGTCTTAGAAATTGTTCCAAATTTGTTACAGGAAGCTTATTGGCCGTAATTGATTCGTTAATGGAGCAAACTTTATTACTTAGTACTTTATATGGCGCGTTGGGTGATGATTTTGACAAAAAAAAATCTCAAATTTAATTTAAAAATTCTTTTTAGTTTTTTACATTCATTTTTTTCATGTTATATAGACATCAAATAGACCTCAAAAGGCAGTTGAAGATTTCAGGGCTTCGGCTTGATAGGAGCAGTCATAATCATACTTTGTTTTAACTAATACTGCCAGCAGTGATAATGACAAGTTTTGAGAAGTAAATTTTAAACCATTGTTGGAGTAGTTAACTTATCGACTGCAAACTTTTTAACTTTTTTTTACTTCAACAGAAAGCTCAAAGTGTTTCGAGCATTTTTATATAAAATGTTTTTGTTTCGTAATAAATCGATAAGGAATATCAACAGGACTGCTCGTATCAGGTCGAAATCCTGGATAATCCGAATACCTTTTAAGGTCTATGGAGAAAAAAAAACAAAAAAATTTAATGGAATAAAAAAAAGGATTTTTTTTTATTTTTGAGATTTTTTTAAAGATCCCCCATAGGACAAATAAAGTTCGAAATGATAAATTTTGCTCCTAGTAAGGAATCAATTATGGCAAATAGGCTTCCTTCAAACAATTTGGAGTGATTTCTAATACAGATTAAATCCCCGCTTACGCGTTAATAGCGCAAAAGATATTGCACGTTAATTTGTCCCAAATTGGCCTTAATGGAAATCTTTACAGCCATAATCTTACAAAAAAAATTACAGGTAAATTATCTTTTCAAATTTAAGCTCAAGACAACATTATCTATTGAAGGATATCAAAAAAAATCTGTCCAAAATGGGTAGTTAAAATGTCGAAATTTATCTGAAGAAAACAAAAAAGACCCCGAGCACAAATATTTCGTTTCGAAAGTCGGAACAATAATTAAAAGATTTATCCACTTACATCTTCGCAAAATTTCATTGTTTTTTAATTTTTTATATAGCAGCTAAGTTGGTGTTTTCTGTGTATACCGTCGGTTGGGTCAGAACTTGGAGAAAAAGATCTTTTCTTGATGAATTGCAAACTCCACAAAAAAGGACTTTAGCAGTTGTGGTTTTCAGCTAATTAGGTTGAAATTTTTTATCAACAAAGGTTTTTTTAAATTTAAATTCTGGCTCGGATGTATAATGCTTGCTCTATCTATGTGTTGGCTTATTTTGTGCCAAATTTCATATGCTCAACTTTTTTTCGAAAATCTCATTTGATTATAAGTGCACGATGCGATGCTGAAACATGCGACAACCGATACTTTGTCCTTGTAGATTGAACAAGTAAATTTTAAGTCATTGGCTGAGTCATGATTTTCTCTGAATTTTAGTTGAATATTGCCACATAATCAGGCGGTTCATGGAAAACTTGAAAGCAAATTTTTTGAATTCAATATCTTTTTTTAGCTTCAAAAACTAGTTTGTTATTCAAAATTGAAACAAAATTGTTGATAGGCAGCAGATAAATCAGACAGCAAAAGTTGATACAGCGAAGAAACAAAGTTGAAAAGCCTCATAATTTTTCTTGCAATATTGAAATCGTTTTGTTCTTTTTGGCATTTCGTGGACTTTTTGTTCCATTATTTTTTTGCAGCTTTTAGTTTTCAAACAACTTTTTTCATTATCTCTTTGTTTTTTTTAGTTTTTACACTAGTTTGTTATTCAAAATTGAAACAAAATTGTTCATAGGCAGCAGATAAATCAGACTTGTTTTTGCCTCATAATTGTTTTTGCAATATTGAAAGCGTTTTGTTCTTTTTGGCATTTCGTGGATTTTCTGTTCCTTTATTTTTTTGAAGCTTTTAGTTTTTTTTTTATCTCATTGTTTTTTTTTAGTTTCAAACTCTTTGAGTTTGATACGTACTGATTCATGTTACGAAACGTTTCTTCTCGTGTTGGAACGAATTTGTTTTCACCATTACGAGTCTAATCTGTGCACTGGATAGGCGCACAACTTGGTGTGTAGGTCTCTGAAATCCACAATTCTTTGAACTTGTAAAAATTTTGACGGAACGATAAAATAAACGAAAGAACAAATGAAGAACGAAGAGAGCGTCCTCGTTGCCGAATCCTTTTGCAAATCACAAAACACACAGTTTGGTGCATTGGTAATTTTGTCCAACTCAGCGTAACGCTGATTTGGAAAACAAAGAAAAAATTTCGTTGTCCATAGTTTTCATTGAGAGTACAGAGACAAAATCATTGATTGTTAACGGAAGTGTAATAGTTCCATACTTCTCAGTCTCCTAATATCCGAAGCAGAAAATGGCTCGTTTATTTATTTATGCAGCTGAATTAAGTCAATCGACTGAACATTAAACTTTTTTGCCGCATCAATTTTTTCTTTTTTTTGTGAAACTTGATGATTTTAACGGCGACCGAATCACAAAACGCGTTAGACAATATGAGTCGCAGGTAGTAAATTGAGCGCTTCAAATGAATAGTCGTGAAGACCAGATAAAATCAAGTACTTTGAAAAAATGAAGTACATTTTTAACCATAGTGTCGTGTTCCGGGCACCAAAAATGGATTTGTGAAAATTCAAATTTTAATCGTTTCGACTATGCCGCTTCTACATCTCAGAAGTGCTCATTGCTCTTCATGCACGCGGTTTTTTGAAACAAAAATTAATCGTTTTGGCGACTTACTTTTTAAGCAATTCGATTATCCGAGCTCTCCAAAAGTACTATAAGGACCCTATTTTGGACAAATTTTTTTTAAAAAAAGGCTAAAAGTATTTGAACTAAAAATTGAGTTTTTTTTCGGAGCAAGATCCCCTCTCAATTTTAGTTATATTGGCGCCATGATTTTGATGTTTGGCTAGCCAAAAAGGAATCTCTTTAAACTATACCAAAAGGGGGATCCTAGGGAAAAATTTGGCTACCAGGATTGAGGGGATGAGGGACGGTCAAAAACGTAGCTGGAAAATTTTCTCGTTTCAACGCACCAACAAGTTATAAGCTCTGTTTCTGATCTCTAGCTTTGTATCGCTCTTTTTGAGCAACGATGAATTATGAATCATCGGTGCTGCAATGTCAAACTTTAATGGTGCAAGAGTGAAACGAGAAACGCTACAGAGGTGAGGGCAACCGGGCAAGAAATCGAGACATTGATTGGGATGGACTTGTCTCTTTATTGACTGTGTGGGCCAACGTTAAATTCACGGTTTCCCCTCTCACAATGTTTTGTTCACTTACTATCTTTTACCTTTTACTGGATACTTAGTTCTTTTAATGACATTTTTGAAAATATATAAATAAGTTTTTCTTTTTTCAGCCTTGTGGAGCTGCAAGGGGTCGGAGGTATTGTGGCCTGTCACGGTTGAAACGTTGCAACCCGGGCCTCCTTCGCCAGATTGGGAGTCTCTCAACTTCTACTTGTCCGGCACATTTGGCGAAAGTTCTACCGCTTGCAAAGAATTAAGGTAAAGTTTTTGAGTTAGGACCGAAGTGTAACTCATAGAGTAATTTCGGATAGGGTACACCGTCTGCTCGTCACGCTATCTTATTTTCGGCCGGATAGATTCGTGCAACTTCTTAGTCTAATACCGATCCTAATCTTACTCTTATACTATCTAGTCTCAGGTTGTTTAACTAGTCTCTGCTAGGCTCAATAGATCTAGGGTATACTGGTTTATTGCGGCTGCTGAAGTGCTCGGGAGAGTCCAACTAATTTCTAAGTTAAATTCAAATCTCTCTGGTGCTGAAATTACAAGTAACTTCAGCACTTACAAATAAGTGGGTTGTTAGTTAGATGGATCATGATTGGTTAATATTAAATACTTTACATTGGTAAAACATTTAATTTATCCAATCATAAAATGTAGTTTAGATCAGGTTCCACCCATCCGGGTTTTACAGAGTTTTTTAGAACAGTTCTTCTGTAGTTCAAGGATGGATGATGGACGTTGGTATTTGGCGAACATCATAATTTTCTTCCGCTTCTTCTTGTGACAACGACTGAGTCTCTGCAACAGCATCAATTCTGATTTCAGAATGGTTGGCTATGTCAGGTTTTTCTGTTCTTCGGAGAGAACTTCTTTTGTGTTTGATCTAGCTTGGGAATGGCGTGGAGATTGTGCGTGGAGGGGATGCCTGGTTACTCGGATCTGTACGTATACTTGAACGTCGAGGTGGTCATTGGTCTAGTTCAATGAAGTCTTTTTCTGCGAAGTCAAGTCGTACTCTAAATCCTTTGAGTTGTGATTGTGAGCGGCATATCGATTGTAGTTGGTCATTCTCTCTCGAGTGTAGTGAGGTCGTCTTGTCTTTTGATGTTCGTCCTTGGTGTTGTATTCTGATCTATATATTGCATCATGTGATTTTACATTTTATAAAACTTTTATTAGTTTAGTATTTTTTAATTATGATTTTAGTTAGTTGTTTTCACAAAAGCTTTTTGTTTTAGTTCGGTTATTTTGAAGAGTTACTCACCCTTGAGTAGCTCCTATTAAAAATAAAGGTGTGGTCACAAAGCGTGGATGTAGCGCGGTGGGTTAGGCCGGCTATAGAGCATGCTCAGGACGTCCTTTCCTGGTGGGTTAGGCCAGGTGTGGGAGTATAATTTCATGCGGTGTTTGTGAGGGGTCCTGTTATGTGACAACGTTTTATGTTGGGTTTGTTGTGGTTTTACTTATGTCTTGTTGGTTATGTACTTTTTCTAAAAAGCAAATTGTTTGTGGTATGGGTTTGTCTTTTGACTTTTTTGTGTTTTATTATTTCTTTCTAAGACTTTGTAATAGTCTTCAAAAGAATAAATTATCCAGTTTTAAACTGGGTTAATCCGGTTTGGGTACCGTTGGTTTCCTTTTCTTAGTCATGCTGTTATTCTATGATTTGTGGTTTTTAGTAAGCTGCGTTGGTTAGTTTTGTTTAGTATATGATTCCTTTCCAACCGGGTTAAAGGAAAGTTTGAAACATGTTATTATATGTTAGAGTTGTTGAGTGTGAAAACTTGAAACTGAAATTCATTATTTTAAACAATTCTTCGTGGGCGAGCTGTGCGAGTGTGGATAGAATTTCTGTGCGAATGAATGAAAATATCAAAAGGTTAGTACTGCAATTGCATTTTATTAATTTACTGCATAGAATTTGGAAATTTACTGCTAGTTATGGGGGAATTTTAAGATACAAATTTTCATCATAATTAGATTTACTGCTTTGGGGGAAAATTTTATAAATTAATTTACTGCATTGGTATTATATTTATTTAATTGTTGGTGCACAAGTTTAATAGGGTTTTTAACAGTTTTGAAGAAGTTTGCTATTTTTTATTTTTCTTTTGTGAATTTTTCAGATGATCTAGGATGAAGGCTAAAAATCTAAAGAAAACATGAAGAAAGAATGGTGAGTTTTTTAATATTTTAATTAGTTAGTAATATTCATTGAATTCATACTTACCTGTTAGTCGTCGGGGAAAAAACCGTGGGGGAAGATATCGTGAATTAGTTCTGAAGTTGTTAGTAGTTTAGCTAGAATGCGGATGATATTTTTAGTTTGAAGCAGTGGCCAAAGCAATTGAAGTGCCTTAATAGTGGTTAGTTCTTCAGTGCCTACTGCAAACTCATAGGGTGTGTTTTGGATTAAGTTATATAATTTGTGGTTAAATTTAGTGTTGTGGATGAATTCTAAAATTGGGATCTCTATAGGCTGTACAAACTCGTGCGGGATAAGGAAGGGTCGGGATTCTTCGGCGTTGAAGGTCTTGGTGATGGGGCAGAAAATATACATTTGGGTTATGGGGTCATAATTACGAAGAATACCATGGAGGTTAGTGTCTTTAATACAATATGTGAAATTTAGGAAATACGGTGAAGTGTATTTTGAATTGATGAATTGGAAACGATGGTGTGGTTGTCTAGAGGGTGTGTGGAGGTCAAAGTGATTTTGGATGAAACGATAGTAACTGTATGTATGTGTTTGTTTAGTGCGCAACATAATATCGTGTGAGCAGTGTAAATCTCTTTCGTGTGGTGCAAGGAAATGAAAGGTTAGTGAAAAGATTTGGAAGCGTTCTTTAAAACTTTCGTATGCTTGTGTGTTTGTTAGTGCTTCTGAAATAATGTGATCAAACTTTCGGTCGAAAATGTTTAGTGTAAATACATATGGTGTCTTGATGAAAAATTTCTCGGTGATTTGTGGATTAGCGAAGCGATCGTCGTCTAAGAATTGATCTTGGTTAGCTCTGATGATGTTGTGATCGTAGTATTCTAGTGTATATTCATTAGCTCTAGGTGCAGTGTGTATTTTTAGTGATTTTTTATATCCTACGTAAGTAAACTGTCTAGCGGTGAGTGGTGTAGTTAGTCGATATAGCATATCTTTGTTTCGGTCTGTATCGATGGAAGTGTTGGTTAAAGGTAAGCAAAGAGGGTTAGTGAAATGATAGTATGAGGTCCAAGAGAGAGTGGGCATTAAAACGTATTCGTCTACAAAGTTGCGTGTTTCGTTAGCGTCATGAGGGGTGTTTAAGGTGTATTGTGGAAATGAGGGTAAAGTGATAGCTAAAAATTCTTTGGTGTTAGTATGTTGGGGGTGGTTGATGTATTCACGGGCTGTTCCTGGTTTTGCTGGGAAAGGATGGTTGGGGAACTTTCTTTTAAAAGTGCGGTAAGCTCTATTAGTGTTGAGTGAGGATTCAGTTGATGTGGATGATGGTGCTAATGATTCAGTATAATTTGAAGAGGGTGTAGGGGGGTTGGATGAATTTGTAGTGGAGGAGATTTGGTTTATGGTCGGGGTGTTAAGGTGGTAGGGTTGTTGTTGGAGGGTAATAAAATTGTCTAGCTCTGGGGAGATTCGGGGGGTGTCTGGAGATGATTGGTCAGAATGGTATGAGGAATAGGTTGGGGTAACTTGGGAAGCATAAGAGGGTGTGGGAGTGATTGGGTCAGGGTTATTTGACAATATGGGTTGAAAAGGAGGTTGAGAAAAATGAGAAGGGTTATGAAAATTATTGGATGGAGATGGTTCTGAGTCGGCAAATTCATCGGGGGTTTCAATATTCGGATTATTTAGCTGTGAAATGGAGTATAAAACTGAAATTTGTGAGTTAGTGTCGGAATTCATGCCTGATGTTACATTGCTAGGTGGAAAATCGGGTGGCGGAAAAGCAAAAAGTGGTATTATTGGGATTGAAGAAGGAAGGTTGGTTGGATGGGAATTTGATCGATGGAGTGATCCAAGTTGGCGGCTCATCGTGGGCTAAAAAAATTATTATTTTGAGATTGAAAAGCGGTGGTATGGGGTTGTTCAATAATTTGTTCATAAGTATTATCATCTTGTGATTGATGTGTTATTATATGTTGGACGGGACTTTGCGATGTGGTGAGTCTAAAATTTGGATTATGTGTGATGGCTAAATTTCGAAAATTTCGTGGGACTAGGGATAGTGGATGGTTATTTGGTAGGGGTGGTAATTGTGGTGCCGTTGGCTGTGTGTCGACATTGTTATGTTCTTCGTCGTATGTATTTTGTCGTGTTGTTATTTTTGTGTTATATTCTTTTATTTGTGCGTCTAAAAGAATTTTGTTTATAGATGTCGAAAAAATTCCAAAAAATCCTGCAAAGAGTATGCGTGCTACGCTTGCTTGTCTGTTTACTTGTGTGTGTATAGCACATGTATTGTAGATTCCTTTTAAGAGTGAGAAAAGAAATCCAATAAAGTTAAACATTGCGTATAAAATAGTCAATTTTTCTAAGATGTAGTAGGGCCATCCTAGAAAATCAAGGATTTCATTCTTGAGTGTAACAAAGCTAAAAATGTTAATTGGTGATATATCTTGGGGACGGTATTTTTCGCCGTTTAGATATATATAATCTTTAATGTCTTTAAAATATCCGCTATAGTCTTGCGTGTAGATATCGGCAAATCCTGCGGTTTCTGCAAGTTTGCGTAAATTTTGGTCTATTGATTGTCTTTGTATTGTGTCCATTTGTGTTAATAATTCTTGGAATTGTTGTGTTCTAATGTGATGTTGAATATCTGATTTTGAATAGATTCCTATTGATTGTAAGTCTATATTTGGGTTTCGAGCGATAGCGCGAATGCTTTCTGGTGAAAATTTTTTGAGTGATTGCATTAATGTGGGATATGGAGTGAGAAGGTAATATTTATTTTCATCAGGGTTTAGTTGTACTACATTGTGGCTATTTTCTGATCCACATGGGACTGCGGTATCCCAGAAATAGGTTCTTCGTGAAAGTGAAAGTGAAATTTTATCATACGAGCGTGTATTTTTGCTACTTGAAATGTTGTACATGTATCTTCGGGGAACCAAACAATTGTTGCTTGTGTTCTCGTTGTAGGGTCGCAATATCCTTGATCATTTTTACAAGGTAGTCGGATTCCTTGATAGATCATTGTATTATCAGATAAATCTCGTGTGAGTTGTATTTTTTCGAGTTGTATTTTCCAATCGAAAAA